AACTCAAAAATATTTTCCAAAGTGGCTATACCGTTTCTACCAACAATGTATTTGTGATGCGTATCTAAAAAAGCTGTGTCTATGCCATGGCTAGGTAACTCAGTTGGCTAGAGCATCGTGCTGATATGTCAAGGTTTCAGGTTCGATCCCCAGTCAGGGCATATAAAAGAATGAGCCAATGAATGCATAAATGGGTGGGACAACAAATTGATAATTCTCTCTCTCTCTCTAAAAATCAATAAATAAGTTAAATAAAAACTTAAAAACTACGTGCAATCCAAAGTCATAGAGATTTACTCTCCTGAGTTTTCTTCTATGAGTTTTAACTCCCATTTAGATCTATTATTCATATTAAGTTAATTTTTATGTGTAGGGTGGGGAGCACAGTAGTTTTAGGGTCCCACAAAAATGTTTTAAATCTTTAAAATTAGAAGAAAAAATTAAGTATATTTGGATTGCATTAGTCTTTATACCAATGCAGTTGTAAAACATATAATCTTTAATATTTTTTTTAAGGGAGAAGAGGACTCTGAGTTTCTTTCTGACACCAAATGTGAGTTTCTTTTCACACCACTTCTCTAGGATCAATGGAGCATCCAAGAATCCAGATTGGCATTGACTTCAGGAGTAAGCTCAGGCCCCACAAGCCTGCCCCTACCTCAGATACCAGTCACCAAGCCCATGGGCCACTGGTACTTCTGACCAAATGTGAGGATTCCTGACCTTCCCTCCTCAGGTTTGATAGTTCACTGGAACTTAGGAAAAACACTTCTCTTAATGTTTACCAGCTTATATAAAGGAAACAACTCGGGAACAGCCGAACGGAAGAGATGCTTAGGGCAAGGTTTTGGGAAAGGAGGTGCAGAGCTTCCACGCTCTCTCCTTCCAGTACTCCAGATATTCACTGACCTTCCTCTAATCGCCTTTGGTCTTTGCAGTGACAGCTCCCATCAGGAAGCCCCGCTTGAATCACTTCATTAGCATTATACTCAGGTGTGTTGGAAAGAAGCTATGAATGTGAAAGACAGTCCTCTTAAGAAATTCCAAAGGTGATAGGAGCTCTGGAAATTTTTTTTGTTATACCACAGTTTCTAGAAAACAAAAGTGCCTAAGGCCACAGAAGTTACCAGTTGAGTAGCCTGAAGGTAGTGGAGATTCAGGGAAATGGGGCAGGCTTGGTGTAGGTTTTAGAGGCAGACTCAGCTGGACTGGCTGATGGATTGGATGTGGGAAGTGAATGAAAGAAAGGAACCAAGGGTGATTCCCAGATTTTTTATTTGAACAACTGGATAGACGATGCTGCCATCCACTGAGAATACTGGGAAAGGAGCAGGACTGGGGGTAAAATCAAGGCGCTCTCTCTCTCTCTCTCTCTCTCTCTCTCTCTCTCTCTCTCTCTCTGATATTTTATTGATTTCAGAGAGAAAATGAGAGGGAAAGAGGGATAGAAACATCAATGATGAGAGAGAACCCATTGATTGGCTGTCTCCTGCAGGCACCCACTGGGGATCAAGCCCGAAACCCCGAGCATGTACCCTGACCAGGAATCAAACCATGATCTCCTAATTCATAAGGCCAATGCTCCACCATTGAGCCACCCTGGCTGGACTCAAGGCTTTTTTTGACAAGAGTATAAGATGACAGTGAGACATAAAGTAGATTAAGCAGTTAGTTGGATTTGTGAACCTGGGTTTTGGTGGAGATGTCTATGCAGGACAAAAATGTGAAAAGTATCAGTTTAGAGACTTAGTGTCAAGAAGTTTGGATGACATCACCTGAAAGTAAAACAGAGAAAAAAAGGAAGCGAGGACTGAGCCTTGGAACACAGCAACATTTAAAGACTGAGTCAAAGGAGAGAAATCAGGGATCTTGAACAGAAGACTTATTAACGATTCAGGTTACTGGCTGGGATCTTGATTTCTCATTGATGCAGGAAAAATTTTAAGGTCAATGAAAATGAAAGGAAAGCAAAGTGGGATTTCCTGAAGATACATTCAAAGTGAGGAGTGGGCCAGTTGAGGTGTTACCAGGACACAGAGAAGACCTTGGTTCTTGTCTTCTCGAGGGCGAGATTTCCTTCAAAAGATCAAGCAAGCAAGAATTTATTGACTGCAGCAAAAACATACTTAGGGCAGTGAAACTAGGAAGGACATAGAAGCAGCAGCAGGAGAGCCATGGCTGGGCTGTGTTGGCTCACTGGGAAGTCAGAGAAAAGGGGGAAAATGGGGCCTTGGAGACAGGTTCAGGGGGTTAGCCCAGGATAAGCTGCCACTGCCCATTGCTCCCCTGGGTGCAAGTCCCATGGGGTCCCTTAAAGGTTAGGGGATAGGTGCATGGTAGGGAGGTGTTAGTTATAATTGTGTGAAATGTGTTTAACATTTAGCATTATATAATTCAATACCTAATATATTAATCTGTTATATTTAAGAGTGAATAGTATACCTAGTCACTGTGTGAATGCCCTAGTAGCAGGTGAACGCCCCAGTAACTGGGAGAACACCCTAGCAACTGTGGGAACTCCCTCGCAACTCCCACCTGGTCCCAGAACCGTTACAAGCCTGAGACCCACTGATAAGACACACTGAAGACCCATTGGTGACACCTACAGAGAACGGAGGAACGCCCGGGAATGGCTATAAAAGAAGCAAGGTTAGAGGCATCAACCAGAGACGCCCGCTCCCCTTCTCCTCCTGCCCGAAGCTCTGCCAGAGCTCAACGGAGCTCTCCGTGAGCCTTGAACCTCGAGGCCTCGACCGACGCCGAGCTACAGCTGCAACCGAATCCTGAGTGTGTGTCTGTCAGCGTGGATCTCCGGGCGGCTTGCCGAGTTCTGGAATCCACTGTGTGTGATTCGTGCATTTAATGTTTGTCTCCCTGTGTTTGATTTTATGCTCGGCCACTCTTAAGTACCTTGGTAACGCCGTATAAGTCCACCATGTGACTGAGGAGCCCTTGGTCACCTGTGCATACGTCCTTAGTATAAATACTATTTGGACAGGAGGGGGTCAGAGTTAGGGTTAGCTTTATCCTGATGTGCCATAATGAGACTTACTTTCTTAATTTGTCTGTCCTTGGGTATGGTTGGCAAATGGTATTTTATTGGATTTCTGTTACCTGCCTGCCTGAGTAACGTGATTTAATCTATTTCTTTCTGGTTGGAGATAAATGCAAACCATTTATTCATGTGCCCTTGGTTAAGGGAAGATCCTGGGTTTACTAGGTGGCTGCATATTGCTGTTTAAACCATCTGTCGCAGTCTCCCTAGCTCACTTGTCCTGGAATTTCCCTAGCTTCGTACTATTCTATAACAGACCCAGTGAGGGAATAGGAAAACCCCAACAGTAACACACTGAGGGAAGTTCAGGGGAAAAGGCGTTTTAAAAGGAAGCTTGTGTGTAGTTCTACTGAGGGGTCAGTTAGACAAGAATTGAGAATTGGCAATTGGCTTCGGAAACGTGGAGATCCTCAGTGATCTCCGTAAGTGACCTTGATGAGGGAAGTCAAAACTGGATCAGAGTAGGCCCAGGAGTGGATGTGAAGTGAGGAAGTGGGAACAAGCACTGTAGAGAGAACTTGAAAAACCTTTTGAGAATTTATGCAGTGAAAATAGCAGAGAAATAGGGCAGTTCATAGTAACCTCAACTTTCTATGGTAGTTTTGATAGTGAGAAGAGTCTTATTTTGCTTTCTTCGTATGAGGTAAGAGACAAAGTTGAGAAGCAAAAAGTAGAGGCTGTGGAGGAGGTATGGGGCATTTAGAAGAGGAAAAGGTGGAAATAATTCTTTTTATTGTCTACTTAAATGTTAATTTAGTGGAGAAAGCCCTCCCAGGATGAGATACATGTCCCCCTTTTTCTCTCACTGGTCCGTTTGCTCTTTTCTGGGACAGATCACCAGTTGTAGTATCTTTATTGGTTCATTTGCTTGCTCCTCCCTGCCTCCCCCCCCCCTCCCGTTAGAAACCTACAGTTGGGCAGGGACTTTGTTGTAATTTCCCAATGTATACAGAATCCTTAGAAATGGGGCCTGCACAGGTAAGTAATTCTTGATAAAACAAAGTAGTAGATAATGAATGTCTTCAGAATTTCGTCTTAACCCATCCATCCCTCTTAAGTGCTTGTTGGACCAATGATATCCAACCTTTTTTTGGCCATGCCTCCTCACCTAAGCAGCACTAAAATCCTGATGCCCTTCTCCCCTCTCCCCTGACATATAATTCTTATTACTCAAAAAAGTGAATGCTTATTCATGTGGAGGAAGCCTTAAAGGCCAATAACTTGGTCTGAAGAAGCTTCCCAAAACATATGGCATCCATGAAAGAGAAAAATAAAAGAACAAAAGGATAATTGAAATACTGAGTGAAAAAATCACTAAGAAATTGTTTTAAAAATGCAAAAAATTGACTCGTTCTCGAATTGCCCCCCTTAAAATCAAATTGCCCCCCCCCTCATGTGGGGCGTGTCCCGCACCTTGGGAACCACTGGACTTGACACTTTTCCTCTCTGAGCTTCATTTCTGAATATATACGCCTATACCATGGGAATTGTAATCTCTTCTCCGCTTACCTCCCTGGGTTGTCCTGAGGAGGATCTGAGCTAATAAACCTGGAAAGGTTTCATCAATTAAGTGCTGTCTAAACGGAAGGGATTGTTATCTTTAAGTCCAGGGTACCCTGGCAGGTGGCAGGTGCTGGTTGCGGGGAGGAGGGCAGGATTGTCTCCTGGGATGTAGCTGTGTGTGGAGGCTTTGCAGAGGGCTCCGCAGGCCTCGGAGGGCCGGACTCCGGCCAGCAGCCCTCTAGCGGTGGTCGGTCCCTGGGGGCGCTGGCCCGGGGGGAGGGGGCCCACAGGGGGAGTAACTGTCAAACCTGCCCGCTTGGCGCCATTATTTAAATGTGCGTGGCCCTTACGTAGCTGTGCGTGCTCAGGGCGGGGCTCCGAGCTCCGGGGAGCTGGGCGGGGCCGCGGGTGGGCGGGGAGGCGGCGGGGCGGGACCGGGCCGGGGCGGGGCGGGGCCAGGCGGGCCGGGAGGGCGGGTCCAGCCGCGGCCCCGGCGAGGTCCAGTGCGCCTGCGCTGACAGACGCAAGATGGCGGACAGTGCGGAACTAAAGGTAAAGCGCAGCTCGAATTCACTTCTAATATTGGGCTGCGGAGACGGCGCCGCCGCCGTCCGGGGGGATGGGCCCGGCCCTGGGGGGCCGCTCGGGCCTGCCTCCACCGGGGTCTGGAATTGTAGGGGGGGAGAGGCGTGCCCGGCCCCGGCGGAGGGGGCCCGACAGTGGCGGGCCGCGGGCCCCGGGTGCCTCGGGGGCGCTGACGGGTCGTCGCCGGCGTGTTATTGTTGTGGGCGCCCCTGGCGGGGGCGGCGGGGGAAAAGATCGGGAGTCGGAGGTGCGGGCTGCGGCTACCCCCGAGGCCGGGTCTCCTCCCGGTCCGGCCAGCCTCCCCGCCCTCCCGGGGGTGCGGGGGCCGGGGTAAGGGTGTCGGTGCAGGGGGATTGGAAGAGCTCCCGCGGCCGCTTCCTCTTTGCTCCCTGCCGTCCGGGCTCCTGTCAGCGCTCTCCCCAGACCCCCGGGAACTTGGCTCCGGCCGCCCCGCCCCTCCGCGGCGCCCGCCGCCCCCGCCCCGGGCGCTCGGCTGTCCCCGCTGCCGGCCGGCCTGTCAGGAGGCTGCGGGCGGGCGGCGGGCGGCGCGGTCCGGGGCGGCGGGCGGGGTGCGGGAGCAGCTCCGGTAAAGTTTGGTGAACCCCGGGGCGGCGTCGGGGTTCGGCTGCGGGGCCGCGGGGGAGTCTGCCTGGGCGGGACGTTACTCTTCTGATTGTGGGCACCCGGGGAATGGGGGGGTGCGGGGGGAAGAAGCCTCCCATTGGGAAGCGGCGGTTGGGCAGCACCTCTCTCTCCTCCTCCTCCGGCTGGTGCGGAGGGTACGAGGAGGCTTTGGGGGGCGGGGGGTGTCTGCACACACACCATGATGGCGATGCTCTAGCTGATGGAGGTGAACGGTTCGTGTTTATATTCCCCTGTTGCCTTTTGTTTGTAGGGACATCTTGCTGGCCATGTTGATTTGAACGCGATTCTCCCCTGGTCGTGCACTTCAACCCCCCATAAATAGAACGTTCCCCCGTTCCTCTCAACTGTAGCGATGGCTCTCAGGCCTCGCGGGATGGGATGGGATGGGATGGGAGGATGGGAGGGGGGGGACCCTCTTTCGGGCTTTTCCTCCCACCCCAGTCTCCTTTACCTGATGATGGCTTCTTTACCCAAGCAAACAGACCTCTGCACAGGCAGCTGGGGGAGGGGGATGGAACCCTTCTGATTAGATTGTGACAAATGGGGCTCCGCTTGGGTCGTTTTGGTGCGGCAGCGAGCAGTTTTTAACTAACGCGTGTTATTTCCGAGGCTCCGAACGCGATACTCCCTCCCCTCTCTGGTCCAAGCAGCTGGTTCTATCCTGACCCAGGGAACTGACATCTCTATCAATGGAGATTATGCAGTTGTAAATCTTTGAAGGGAGGGGGTGGTGTCCTCTCTTTATAAGTAATAAAGATCATTAAGAAAAAAATTTCCCCCCTGCGTTATACTGAAACGACAACTTCCAGAAAAGCGAAATGCTTAGTTAGATTAGCCTCTGGAGAGTTTTTCTGCAGAAGCAAGCTTCGCTGAAAGATTGAAGGATCGTCTTTCCCCACCAATAATTTTTCAATGTTAACATTCCCAAATTTGAATATTCAGGCACTGTCTTTGAGTGTCACTTCTTGTGAAGTCTACTTCTGATTGCAAATGATGAGACAGCAGGTCTATAAGGGTTAGTTTCGTTTTTCCCTCCAGTTTGGAACTATTTGAAAATGAAAACGCCTCAGGAATTTGAATGTTTGGAGGTAATTAACTCTTGAGCTAAAGAGTGCAAAACTTTAGTTCATGTTTTCTGTAGTTTTACTCTTAAAACCTAGTCACGATGTGCTCTTGCTTTCTAGTACTTATTTTGTGAGGAGCCCCTTTGAATGTAGCTAATCAGTTCTGTTGTGCATGGACCACAGAGGAGAGCTGAAAAGCTTGTGCTGCTATATTGTCACTCCTGATGGTGTCCAAAGAAACTGGTATGGAAAGCACATGCTGGGAGATTTCCTCCTTTGTTCTTTCTCATTTTAAGAAAAGTGCCTTTGGGGATAGATGGATCAGATCCCTAGTGTGAGTCTTGTTAGGTGAAGTTTCTCTTTACAAAAAAAACGAGCCTGTATCAGATAAACGCAAAAACACTTGAGGGGAAAACATTTTTTTCTAAAATTGATCTCATTTTCTTACTCTCTCCAAAATCTACTTGAGTTTTTTTCAGAGGAATTGTTTTCTACTTTTATGGTCCTCTTGTACAATTTTTTTTCAAGTTATAACTGTTTTGACATACTGGTCTGTCATTGTGTGTGCCCAATACTTTGAGGAGCTGTGATTAATTGCTTTGCTGTGATAGTTGTATTAATCTTCTTAATACATGATTGTGGTTACATTTGCTATTATTTTTGCAGGGGGGGGGGAGATGATCTTAGTAATGCCTATCATAGTTATTTTGAATGCACTTATTTATATAATGTTTTGTGCAGTGATTCTCCTTTTGGAAATTGCATTTTCTAATTTGTGGAGGTAAATAGTATTTACTTCTAATAAAGTAGGAAGAGTCAGAGTAAGAATTAAGAAAAACCCAGATTTTTCAAAGTTTTATGTGAAAATACAGTACTTCCAATGAATTTCCATCTGTGAAGCTTTGAGTAAATGAGTGACTTTTTATCTTAATTTATAGCCCACATTTCACTTTGCTGTGGATTTGCATTTAATAATTATTTTCTTCGTGGCCCATTTTTATGAGTCCTTTTAGGTTTATAACAAATCTGCAAAGATCAGATGTTAAAAATGGATAAATCTGTATCCCCTGTAGATCTGGTGCAAATGGCAACACTTACAGATACTGCAGATAAAAATTGAATTGTGAGTCCTGTATATCAAAAAGAGTTCTCTATGCACATTTGTGAAATGTTTAAGGGGAATACCCATAAGTGACATTTGTGAGAATGTAGAGAGTGAGCATTTTATTATCTTTAAGAACATAAAAGCAGCTGATGGCTAGCTGATATTGGAGGTTAATCTGACAGCTTCATGTATCCCTTAAAGTAATTTTTAAAAAAATTATGTTTTTTGCATGAAAATTTATGTCAAGTTATATTGCCATTTTAGCTAACAGGAACAGTGGTAAGGAGGAAGAAATTTATTACCATTTTAGTGGAGTAAATGGTGGAATTCAATGGGAAGACAAATCATACATTTAAAATTATATTTTAATAAGTATTATAAGCATGACAGTAAACCCTGTTGTCATATTTTGCCTCTTCATTTTCAAGAGATAGCCACTTAATTTTGATATTTTGTGGTGTAATTTGCCTGCTTTTATTTCATATAGGAGCAAGTAAGTTTGACAATTTATTCATGGATTTGATTTGAATCTCCATAACTTGCTTTTGTCAAGAGCCACATTTAGATGGCTTTTGTTTTAGGTCACCATTTTTCTGAACATTACTTAAGAACAATTTATAGAATACTTTAGTTTTTAAGTATTTAATGTAATTGTTTTGAAATACTGTCTTTTCTTCCACGGTTTCCTCCTGGGTGATTGTATTGTATTTCTCTTCAAAGAGTCTCTTGTAATCCCTGTTGATTGCTGTGGTGTTTAGTGGTGAGTCCATAGCTGATTAACCTTGGGTTTCTCCTAGTGAACTCCATCAACATGCTGCTCCATGGTTCTTGCTGAGGCTTTTGAGTTCAGTGTAATTCGTACCCTTTTCTGCTGGTAGCTAGGGATTTAAAAAAAAAAAAAGGCTCATGATTGTAGTGGGAACTGGGAAGAAATATTTTAAGTTTCTGAAAAACTGGTATGTTTATGATGAGATGTACCTTTTTTTTTTGAGATGTGGCCTTTATCAACAAACAAAACTCCTGGCTCATTACTTCATATAATTGGTTGTAGTGTTTTCTGAAGTATTCTGCTCTGGCATTAAGCACCTTGTGGTTTTTATAATATATGTTTGAATAATCTTATGTAGTGCTTTGCAGGTCATAATGTATCATATTATCTCATTTGATCTTTCTAACAGTTCTTTGAGGTAGGAAAAGGCAGGTAGTATCTCTCTTCATCAGTAAAGTGAGCCCAGAAAGGGTAAGTGACTAGCCCAAGGTCATACAAATAAAAGTGGCAAGAACTTGAACCTAGGGTTTGTGATTTCAAAATGTTGTACTGTAGACTGCCTTAGAGGTGCCATATTAGTCCTGGTGCCTTGCTTACTAAGAATTCTAGTTATGTTGTGGCTGATACTTTTCCCTCTTGCTCTTTGTCCAGGGTATTTTGGGGTGTGATTTGTTTTTGTTTTTGTGTGTTTTTTTTTGCAGGGAAGATTTTGGAGTTAATATTTATGGAATCATAAATATTAATTTTTAGAAATACCATTTTGCTTGGGAAAAGTTCAGGGAATAGTGAAAAAAGTAGGCAGAAAAATAAACAACATCTGTAATTCCAGCACTTATCAATAGAAATATCATGGTCAACATCTGGGTTATCCAGTTATTTTTTCTCTCTGTGAGCATATGTGTTTGTACATTCATCACAAATAATAACACACTACTCTTGTTTTGTAATCTGCTGTTTTCATGTCTATCTTTCTATTTTATTCAGCTAATCTTTTATCTTTGGACAATTAAATTATTTATTTCTACTTTCTTGCTATTTAAACTGTCTTGACAAATAACCTGATATAAAAGTTTGCAAATGTTTTATTCTAACTCAATATATTAATATGACAGACCTTTTGGTGCTTTCGGGAGCAGTGCAGATGGTATTTTGAGTAGAAGAAGTGGGAATGAAATAAGTAATTCCTTGTTCATTGTCTATACCTTTTTGTTTCTATGAATCTATCATAAAATTATTAAATGATGGCAGGTATTTTATAAATATAAGCAAACATTTTTTTCTGAATCAGAACATTCAATAAAGTATGAAATGGATTATGAAATAGTATATATAACTTATTTTCAAGTATGTTTGATTTTGGGAAATTATATCAATAATCAGATAT